AACAACAGACGTCCACCGCTGACGGGAGAAGGGTGAGGGCTCCGGCACTGCCTGCTCCAGTCAGCTCAGCCCTTCTTCACAGTCTCAGATCCACTGGAGATACATGACCTGACACAGTCACCAAAGTAAATGCCAACAGCAAGGTTCTCCGTACAAAAGACAAAGCCTCTGCCAGGAGAAAACACCAACCAGCTCCCTACTATTTCTAGTACAGAGAAAAGCTTTAAGGAAAATAGTTTGAAAACAGTAACATTAAGTGGATGAAGAGATATTTGTTAGCCAGAGAAAATCAAGGGCAGAAATATTTTATGAAATGAAATAAACTTTCGTAGAAACATTAAACAAAAAGAAACGGACTTTATTTATTTTAAAAAATGGAGTCTCAGTCTGCCACACAGAATGCAGCACGATGGCCTCAGCCCAGCTCACAGCAGCCTCTAACTCCTGGGCTCAAGCAATCCTCCTGCGTCAGCCTCCCCAGCAGCTAGGACTACAGACATGCAGCATACCTGGCCAAGCTTTTATTTTTTCTGGAGATGGGGTCTTGCTATCTTGCCCCAGCTGGTCTCAAACTCCTGAGCTCAAGTGAGGGTCCCACCTCGGCCTCCCAAAGTGTTGGGGTGACAGGCGTAAGCCACCACACCCAGAGACTGTACCAGCCAAATAGACTGTATCCTCACAAGAGACCTAATCTAGCAAAAGAAATCATTAATTTTTAGGCACAGAAAAAAATAACCAAATATAAAGCAAAAAATAGTTAATAAGGTAAAAAGATTACAAAACTAAAATCACAATAGAAAAATTCATTCTTCCAAGAAATTGAGCAGACAAAAAACAATAAAGCATATAGATTTAAATAACTCAATTTAGTTTATATATATATAACATGCAAATAAAGTACATGCTCCTATATATAAACATATAAAATATATGAGATAACTTTTAATAAACTATTGGTATATATGTATAGATTTCTTCATCCCAAGAATAACAATAAGAATATATTTTGTCTTCAAATGCCTACGTAACTATGTAAAAAATTTCGTGTCTATACCAGGTCATACAAAAATATGCAACTGAATTTAGAATACCAATACAAATCAAACAATTTCCCCCCAGCATAATGACAAAATTCAAAGACAATCTGCCCAGCATGGTGGGGTGTGAATGAAGATAAACATGCCGCTCACTCAGTAACTAGGAACCTCAGGTGAGCAGGCTCTGGGGATCTGACAGTGAACCTGAGATGGGGGGTGCACCTAATCACTGACCCCTGAGTTGGGGAGTGCACCTGATCACTGACCCCTGAAACAGGGAGCACACCTAACTGCTGATCCCTGAGGCAGGGTTGGGGTGGGGTGGGGGTCTGGGTAGGAGGGTAGGGGTGGTGCATTTGATCACTGACCCCTGAGACAGGGAGCTTACCTGATCACTGACCCCTAAGATGGGGGGCGGGGTGTCCTAATCACTGACCCCTGAGTGGGGGAGTGCACCTGATTATTGATCCCTGAAACAGGGGGCACACCTAATCCTTGACCCCTGAGATGGGGGGGTGCACCTAATCACTGACTCGTGAGATGGGGAGTACACCTAACCACTGACCCCAGAACAGGGAGTGCACCTGATTGCTGACCCCTGAAACGGGGAGCGCACCTAATCGCTGACCTCGGAAATAGGAGTGCACCTAATTGCTGACCCCTGAGTCAGGGAGCACACCTGATCACTGACCCCTGAACAGGGAGTATACATGATCACTAACCCCTAAGACGGGGAGCACACCTAGTCAGGGAGTGCTCCTAATCACTAACCCCAATGCGGGGAGCGCACCTAGTCAGAGAGTGCTCCTGATCACTAACCCCTAAGACGGGAGCGCACCTAGTCAGGGAGTGCTCCTAATCACTAACCCTAAGATGGGGAGCATACCTAGTCAGGGAGTGTTCC